TTTCAGTGAAAGAGCCCTCAGGTTTCAGGCCCTATTCAGCCCACTTTTTGCTTGATGAGTGCGTTTTTCAAGCCCTGAATGTTTCTGCAGCACCATAGCTATGCTTGCATATGAATTAATAAGAGCTTGTCTCTATGAGAGCACACATGAAAATTAATCTGAATAAACTGAAGTTATTAATTTAAAGTGGATTAGTTTAATCACATTAAACCCTGGTGTGGACACACTCATTCAGAATTGAAGTGGCCTTAATGCAGTGTAGTTTATTCAGAAGTTTTAACTGATGAACTTTAAAAACTAATTTGGATTAACTTTCCTGAGTGTCTCCATGTAGACAAGCTGTAAGACACGTCTCTTCCATGAGGAGTTTACAGTCTGCTCCTGTGGTGTTTGTAAGACTATGCCCTTATAATAGGAAACATTTATTTTGAGTGAGGATTTTGCGGGGCAGGGATAATGTGTGAAAGATTAGGTATACAATATGTGTTCTTATTTGCCGCTGCAGTTTGTATACCAGTAATTCCAACACACCAAATGTATGGTCATACTTCACGGAGACACTAATGTTTAGTGACTTCTCATGGGAGCCTTATCTGTATTTCAGTATGCTTAAACCAAGTAAAGCCTCAATTGGGTAATGACTTAAGGTGAGTTTGAACTGTACATCACCATGGTCTGACTGGGTTAATGCCAAATGTTCTCCAGGAGCAAAGAAAGTTTCAACTCTGGTGGAATACCACTCCTTAAACTCACATTTGAACTGGATCCCTGCACAAGCAGAGAGCTGAAATATATCCATGCAGCACGAGAAAAATATTAGCAGCCATATGGTTGGTCAGCTGTACATTATTTATAACCATGCCTCATCTTTTTAACAAATCACTTCAGTAGCTTAAAATCTGGTATCATCTATGCGTAGGTTAAAACTGTTGCGTAGTCCAACATTAAATCATATGCTATCACAGTAGAAGCGTAATCCAGTTTACAAAAAAATCACTGTATCAGTACTTAAAGAAAAAAGCCAATGTCTACGTCCAGTACTCTCGTTGCTTGAAATTCTTCAGCTTCTGGCCCTAGTCACATTTGGTTTGCAATGAAAGTTTCTGCCTTTTTTGATGACTTGTTACCAGCAAATTCCAGGGTACAAAGCTGTGAACTTGACAGACATCAGGTTGTCCATTATATCTGGTGTCCTGCTTATTTTTGCAGATGGTGTCAGTTGAGTGAGATCCTGGCTTACTACGTGTGTTCACTGCTTTAGAAGCCTATGTGCATTCTTTTCCATCCTCCATAGACAGTCTATGGGATTTACCTAGTTTTAAGGAAAACATTTTTGAGAGCATTGTCTTATATTTTTGGGGGGTAGGGAGTGAGTGATGGAAAATAACAGTGGTTGCCCCTCCCCGCCCCAGTGCTTTTGTGAAAATCTTTTCCTACTAGGTGTATTGCCATAGCTACATCATTCTTCCAGGTGCGCCTACTTTGTCTTGTTATCTTAGTATTCATCTTCCATTCTTATGCCTGGAACAATTACTCACTAGTCGCTCTTGTCTAGTGTTCGTCTTTTCTGCACACAAGTTGTACCACTTTACCTCTACTGGTATAGTTAAAGTGGTACAATTCCCCCTAATTTGGATACAGTTATACTGGTATAAAGATGCTTTTTCCCATACGGTAAGGTGAATAAACTATACCAGTATAAAGCAACTTCATAGCAATGTAACTATGTCCAAACTAGGGATTGTACCGGTATTTTATTGTTAAATCACATCCCTAATTGCAATAGGTATATGGTACAAAATCTATGCATGGACTAGGCCTAGGCTTTAAAGATGTAAAATTAGCATGTGTTTATGACATTCTGGGGTGCAGTCCAGACCAGTGAGGGGTTGTCACCGCCTACCCTGCAACCTGGCATGCCTCACAGTGCTTTGCTGCTGTGGGTCCCAACATGAGTTGCTCACAAACAGCATCCTGAGTGTCCATGTATAGCCACAGCCCTGGTCCAGCAATTCTGATTACAGCAGCCACACTCTGGCTTCCAGCAGCCTTGATTAACACTTGCAGGGTGATCCCAACGCACTCCCAGCCTTAGATCTTTCTCCAAAAACGTGTGTAGCACTGTCAAGCCCTCTCCTGGACAGTCGAGATATATTAGATCCATTGTCCCCCTATGGGGATCAAGATACAATACCTTGGACCCTAAAGTTACCCACACAGTTCACAACACTGGATTAGTTTAAAGAATAAAACAAGTTTATTTAACTACAAAGAGAGAGGTTTTAAGTACGTACAAGTATTAGGGCATGAAAGTCAGAAAAGGCTACAAGACAGATAAAGATAAAACGCATCCTAGTACTAAATTTAACAAACTAGACTTGGTTCAAGGTGAAATTCTTACCACAGGTTTTCAGTAGCATTGCTGACAAAGCTTCAGGTCCGGATCTGCTTCCAAGATCCAACGGCTGTTTCTTTTGTCGTCTTAGGTGAAAAGAGAGACAAGGAGACAGAACTTTGGGTGTTTTTGCCCCTCACTTTTATAGTTCAGTCACCCTTTGAAATGCATTTTCCTGAGAGTGTTCCCTAAAGTTCTTTCCGGCTGAGAGCAAGGAGACATGGTGTCTGGTGGGGGAAAAGGAGTTATGCTGTTGTTTGCTACCTATGTATGTTGAAATGCAGACTTTCTTTTTCTTCCCCCTCTCGTTGTCTGAGGGCTGTGTTTACAGCTTATATGCAGATTTAGGTGTAAACCCATCCCTTTGTTTAAGACAGGCCTGCTTGACCAGTTCTACCTAATCAGGGCTACATGAGTTGGAGCATGGTCCTTTGACATAATCCAGGGCGGGGGGGGGATTTCATAACTTCACACACAATGTTGCTACATACGTTTCATCCTGGTATTATTGACCAGGGAGTTATTAGTTTTTAAATGATACTTCACAAGGCATATTTTGTACAAAGATTATTACTGTAGTGTGTAGGGTGAGAATATAGGGGTGCATTCAGCTAGTGCATATAGGGCACACTGCCTTTAACTTGCGCTAAAATGGTTTTGTTAATGCATAGAGGGGAGTCTAGACTTTCATTCAACCAGTTTAGCACATGTTAAAGACTGTGCTTGCTATACAGTAGACGTTTAGGTAATGCATGCTAACTGCACACCTTTAAATGTTGGTTTAGGCCACAGTGTGCTGAATTGCCACCCTCTCATTCAAATCCCTTCTTAAAACACACTTCCATTATGTCTTTTGGTGGTAGTCCAGCATAATTGCTAATCTTCTCTATATAAAAAAGGATTAAAAACAGGAACATTTGCACCTTAATTCAGCTGGCTGTGGTTGCACTCTGTCTTTTAGACTAATCCTGTTGGGGAAAGGACTGTGCCTTTCTACTGTGCCAAGAGTGCTCTCAGCAATCAGTAAATAACAGATCTCTCAGCAGTGATGTTTATTGGGTTAGCAATTCTTTAAAGACCACTTCGTGTTTTAGTTAAAACTATATAAACTAGAAATGACTCTTAACTTGATTCAAATGGTTAGAATGACTCACTGAAGGATACATAGTTGAGAGTGAAATTGTTTTGTATTGGAATATATGCATGATTCTTTTTCAAAAATGTAAAAAGTAAAGAATTATGTATTCTCCTAGAAAAAGCATCATCTGTGAGTAGAGTGCTTGTTTTACCTTAATGCATCAGACTGTGTGTTTATAAAAGTTCTTAAAGCTAACGTGTGTTCTCTCATCAGTGTGTGTAATGGTCTAGGCATATTGATGGCAGACTGGCCCATAAATGTATAACATGAAACTTGCAGTTTTGTGAAAGAAATGCATGAATATTGAATGGGAATTTCATCCTGTGGTGGAGGGTTTTACAGTGTAGTTTAATGTCAAGTTTTGAAGTACACCTCTACAGATTATTGTCTGAAGTTTGGGAAAAGGAGCTTCTTCACATCTGCAATCTTCCTCCCTCTATTTTTCTTGCTCTTACACCATCCTCCTTCAAGTCAAGGCTGACAACTGGATGGGATTCCCCTTGGAGCCAGTCAGAACCATTTGTTCTGTTGCTACAGGGAACCGTGAATGTGTGTGTTTTCCAAAGGGCTCAGCCTACTTCCTATTGTACTGCTCCTAGTCGCTGCTGACCCACAGAGGATTGAGACCAGAATTCTGGTAGGAGGAGTCTGGCATGACTATGTGGAGCACTTCAATGAGGTCATCTCTGTGCATACTGAAGTGTGAGGAGATTCTGTTAGAGTAGAAGTTGTCATATATTCATGTTTTGCACATGAGCTTTCCGCCTAGACTTTTTTTTGTTAAAACTGAGAGGCTAAACTACAAAATAATTGGTCACAAATTGCATGGTTATGAAATAAATGTAAGACCAAGTTTTCTATTGCTGGCGTTTAAAAATTCAGTTGAAGTTCCAGCAATAGATAGCAGTAATCTACAGGTGACTTTATCTAATGATTTTGTGTAGAATCATATTGGCTTCCTCTCAAGATTGTGATCCCGTTGTTTAGCGTGAAATGTATATGATCCCTGCACTTGTGCTGCTACACAGAACTTTGATGGAAAATTTTAAGGAGAAAGATTGCATTCTTTGGAATTTTGTCCCTTCTTGAACCTACTTGCTTAGGGTTTGGATACATGGGGAAATTTACAGGCATAATTATACTGCTGTAGTTATACTGGAATAAATTCTGGAATAAGAGTATCTGTATGGGAAGTTTATACTGCTGTAATTATGCTGATAAATTTCTCCATGTAGACAAGCCCTTATGGAAAAGTCAAGTTGTGTGTTAGGTTTTAGATTTGTCTTTAATTAAATTTCAGCAATACTGAAGACTTAAAAAGAACTCCAGCTTGACTAATTGCACTATTTCCTTATTAAGAGAATCATCGCCCTGGATTCTGGGTACACTTTCCATAGGTTAGAATGATGCCAAATACATATTCCCCAGAATGTGAAACTGTATATACCTTTTGATCCTCCATAACAGCCAACCCATCATGATTGGCAGACTCCATAAAGGCATCAAGGAGCCCTACTGTTAGAAGATTCCAAAACTTGCACTTGATGGGAAGCATGAACAATATTTGTCTTCCATTCTTCCTCTAAACATGGCCAAATATGGACTCATGGTGTCTGACGGAATTGAATTATTGAGGTGAGTGCTCTCCAAAGAAACCGCCCTTTTCTCTGCTCTCACCAATGTCACTCTTTGAACACATAACAAGAGCATGTGTAAAAGTACAGTTGTTACAGTGAAGCATAGGGAAGGAAGCGATCTAGACCAGTGGCTCTCAACCTTTCTGGACTACTATACCCTTTCAGGAGTCTGATTTGACTTGCGTACCCCAAGTTTCACCTCACTTAAAAACCGCTTGCTTACAAAATCAGACATAAAGATACAAAAGTGTCACAACACACTATTACTGAAAAATTGCTGACTTCCTCATTTTTATCGTATAATTATTATAAAATCAATTGGAATATAAATATCATACTTGTATTTCAGTGTATAGTATATAGAGCAGTTTAGACAAGTCATTCTATGAAATTTTAGTTTGTACTGACTTCGCTAGTGCTTTTTATATATCCTGTTGCAAAACTAGGCAAATATATAGATGAGTTCATGTACCCCCTGGAATTCCTCTGTGTACCCCTAGGGCTACGCCTGCCCCTGGCTGAAAACCACGGATCTAGACCATGTACAGCTTCATAGATGCCAACCCAGCTCATCAGATTTCCTCTGGTCATGAATTGACAGCCAGTGTGGAATCTAGAGTTCAGTTGTAATATACTCCCATCAGTAGAACGTACCTAAAAGGTAGGCAGCTGCCTTTTGCACCACCTGAAACTTCCAAGTGACCTTCAAGACTAGCTGTAGGTAGAGCATGGTGCTCTAGTGTAGCTTTCATGTAACAAAGATAGCTGACCATTGCGCTGATTCAGACCAACACAGTCTCATGGCCTGTCCAAGGCGAAAGGTGTTTCTCGCTACTATTGCTATTTGAGAGTAGAGGAGGATATAGCTAGAATGCTGATACTGAGAGCTTCTCTGAAAGGTAGGCAAGTACCCTCTGGTGAGGGCAGCTGCATTCTTTTTGTGAGTTCTTCAAAGAATGGGGAAGCACTATATCAGTCTGATCTGCTAAATCATAAGCTAGATGGCTTTCATTCATGAGATGTTAGAAAGTTCATTCGTAGTTTTGCCAGGGCCTTATGAGAGGCTGATGTAGAGCTGAGCATCTTTGGCATATTGATGGCATACTTCATATTTTCTCACGGTTTTCTCCAGTAGCTTCACAAAGATATTGAAGAAGCAGCAGCCTGTAGCGACCAAGCCCTGTGACAGTCGCTAAAGAAGGAGTAACATTAAATTGCAAATACACTGAGACTTGTTTCAGAAACCAGTTTTGTTGTAAGAGGCTGATCTGTAATTAAAGCCATTGGAAAGCCACAAAAAGTAATTTAGCGGTCAACTGTTGATGGGTACAGCTGAAACACTGCAGCCTGCTCTCCAACAGCCAGGTCAGATGCCTGCTGCCCACAGGACTGTTTTACAAAAATCCCCTTGGTTAGCTTACCACAACAGCATGTGTGAACAAAATGCCAGTGTGATATTCAGTGCCTAATGCAAAGCAAACATGACTGTTTACTGTGCAGGGTTGAGCGCATGGAGGGGATATTAAACTCCAGATGATGTTGACGTTACAAACAGGATAAGAAACAGAGGAGGTATTCCCTATTTGGTAGAAAAGCTCAATGAAAACAGATTCCATACTTGGGCAGTTGAAGTCAAAACTACAAGAAGCATGAAAAAGCTGAATAAAAAATGGAATCTGTTGCAGGCATTCTGCTGCCAGGAATGTGTGCTTAGTGCCAGAAGATTCAACCAATTAACTCTACACTGAACTTCTCTGTGAAGTCAAAATTATCATTGCCAATTACCTACTCACTAATAACACAGGGAACAAATAAGGGATTTGGGAGGGGACAGCAACATTACTATTCTCTTTAAGCAAAGTAAGAATTCTGCCAACAGGGTTATGAGAGGAAACATGTAAAAGTGGCCCACTCCCCTATGCTAGTCCACTACATTAACTTAATTTTTAAAAGGAAACATGATGCACGTACTGTGTCAGTCAAACCACCACAGTGTTGGTTTGTCTGTTCCTTCCTCCCCTGCCCCTGTTTGCCTAATAGAAAAGGAGTACTTGTGGCACCTTAGAGACTAACCCATGAATCATCCAATTCATCGGATGAAGTGAGCTGTAGCTCACGAAAGCATATGCTCAAATTGGTTAGTCTCTAAGGTGCCACAAGTACTCCTTTTCTTTTTTGCGAATACAAACTAACACGGCTGTTACTCTGAAACCTGTTTGCCTAATGTTACCTTCCTCAGGGTCCTGTCTTGTTTGATGTGATTAGATTGTATATTATAGGATCTGTACTGAAGGGGTCTTCACAAAGAGTGTCAAATTGGTTGGTAGCCTGCAGGACTCTCAGTGACAGCCACCAAAAATGTCATAGTCAACTAACCAGAAGTCTGTGTCACATCTTATTAAGCAAACATGGGGTGTGTCACAGAGATCCTTGGCTTTGTAAACTCCAGGTTAGAATATTGCAATGTACTCGCTATGGCACCCCCAACACTTACTTTTTTTTTTAAGCTTCAATTAGTGCAGAATGCAGCCTTGTGCCTCTTCAGTAGCACTAGCTGCTGAGAGTGTGTCAGCCAGTGCTTTGCTCTTTATAGTGGCTTCCCATCGAACATTATAGGGCCAAATTTAAGGTCTCTTAATTTTCAGGGCTCTGAATGGAGTTGGTCCTGCAATTCATAGATCCCCAGGTCAGATGGGACCATTGTAATCATCTGGTCTGATCTCCTGCGTAACACAGGCCAGAGAACTTTCCCAAAATAATTCCTAGATCAGAGTTTTTTAGAAAAACATCCGGTCTTGATTTAAAAATTGTAGTGATGGAGAATCCACCCCCACCACCCCCCAGTAAATTGTTCCAGTGGTTAATTACTCTCACTGTTAAGAATTTACGCCTTATTTCCAATCTGTTTTTGTCTATCTTCAATATCCAGACATTAAATCATCTTGTATCTAAGTAAAAAGTAGGATAGTGAGTTGGGTATTAAGTTTTCTTGCCCTCTGTTCTCATTGCTGGGAGGGGAAGATATTGGTTAGGTAGCTGACTCTGTCTTAAGTGGGTTTGGAGGAAGAGGAATGGAGTCCAAGATGGCTTGTGAATTGCCAACTAATCATTGGTATTACACTTGCTTAAGGCAGATCTTGAAAGGGTGCTGACAATTGTTAGCCCTCTTTCTCTCCACTCAATATAATTTGTAAAGCCTAGTATTCCGTTTTAAAGGATGGTAGAAATGAACGTCTTTCACAGGATGTTGCAGTTTGGCCACCAAACGCTGCCACTCATGTTCATGGAGTCCCTGCCTATCTCTCATACATACCATGTGAGTCCTGTTGAACATCACTCGCTTGCCTCTGACTGGATGATTCTTTCACTTCGCCCAATTATTTTGTTTGGGAAAGGGCCGGGCTAATTGAACAATCTGAATTACAAATGGCTTCCCACCTCAACAGTGGCTACCAATGACTTATTGGTTTGATCTTTTTTTAGGATTATTACATGCCTCACAAAAAATTATTAAATAACTTATGGAAAACACTGGAGACCACCACAAGATAGTAGCTGAACTCTTCCCTTAACTATTGTGTTTTTACCATATTTGTGACTCAGCCTCGGTTCTGAATGCGAAAGCTTCCTTCTGTCTCATTTTTGTAAAATATAAATCTCCTACCTCTGCTTATGTGGGAAGAAAATGTTGTGCACTGATCTGATGGTGAAGCAGTGCTGGTTTCTAGAAAACAAGATTTTTTTTTTAAAAAAAAAAGATAATATCATGATAGCTTCTTGGCATACGTGTTATATGATGAACCATTCAAAGGCATATTTCGTCCCTTTGAATATTTTTCTAAAATGTTAAAGTCTGTTATAATTAAAAATGAGGGTCTGGTTATGTAACTCAACAGTAAAAGAGGATTTTTAGTGAGTATTTTGGCAGGGACAGAGAGCAAAGCTTGCACTGCTGTATTTTATCACTCTTCATTGCTCATTTCTGCCTACCACTTCAAAATCAGAGTGTACACCTGTGTTCCCCAGGCTTCTGTCTCTATCCAGTGTCTGTTTTCTTTAGAGAGATATGGAGCAGATGTGTTAGGAGTGTGCTCTGAGGGTGTGTGCACGCAGACATAGTGGGGTTCAGCATGAATTGTCTAAATTATCTCTCAAGCCTTTTTCTATATTCAAATTCAGTTTTCATTCATAAAACGATCATTAATTACAGGAATCTTCCAAAGGGGTAGACAAAAAAGTTAGCATTTATTTAAAAAAAAAATTTTTTTTTTGAACCAGGCTGAGTGAAATTCCTCAAGTAAATTTAAATGATGGAAAGTACATTGATTTAAAGTGTTCATCTCTAATAATCCTCTTGATGGGCAAAAAAATGTGTGGTGTTAAGGTCAATTACAGCAGGCTAGCATGTTTTTTTTTAACATTGGGCGAGCCAAGGCTCCTTTGATATATTTTGATGAACAGTGAAATAGTAAACAATGTGGACATTTTAAATGTCACCACTGGCATTTGAGTTAGCACCCACTGAAGTGACAGGGACAGTTCACGTTTGAGAACTATTGCTTCAAGCTCTCTGCAAATTCAGACAGACATTGCTCCATTACATTCCCATTTTTGGAGGTTTTCTTAGCCCGCATAATAGAGACTTTTTTGTAATGAAAGCTGTAGAGAACAGTTCTCCTGCAACCCTTGCTGCTGGCTAGTTTTTCCACACTCAACTCCTGGATCAAGCGCCACATTTTGGCTCAATTAGAGAATGGTTTCTAATCAATTTTCAGCTTAATAACCTATATGAAATGGTTTAACCATTTGATGTCAGGCATTCCACCTGTATATGGGAATAACCCCACCATTCATGCTCTCGGGGAAGATTTACCATGTGAGAAGCATTTTGAGGTCCTTGGCTAAAAGCTGCCAAATAGTATGGGAAATAAGAAAAATTTAGTTGAGACCACAAGTATATGTCTCTAAGGCCCGTCTATATTACAGGGTCTGTAGCAT